AATCCGGACCTGCGGGAAAAGCTGGTTTAATACGGTTTTTGCGGTACAAAACGAGGGTCGGTAGTTCATGGAGGGCGGGGTTACCATAAATATGTATATCTATCTATCTATCTATGCGTGCGAACCAAGACACTCCAATGAGAGCACCTGGCAGAAGTCACGAAAGAGCCAGCGCAAACATTGCGGCAGCTTGCATTCACAAAGCATTTGCATGTGCACATTATGCCGAGCTTGCCCAGAGGGCTTGCCTGCATGGCTGGGAAAAGGATGCGCGACGCCACTCGAGCAACGCACGTCCCATATGCCTCGTCCCAATCGATACCTGCAGACGTTTAATCACCGATCCATGAGGTGAATTCAGCTCAAGCGGCTAGAAGCCGACCAAGAGCCCTAACCCTCAAAAGCACCAGCCGGAAACTATGCCGGAGAAGACAGGATTTTCGAGATTAGACTCCTATATCCCACGGCGATCATTTGAAGTTGTGCTTGTCACAGTCTTATTGCTCGTATACCCATATGATATTAAAAGGCAAGAAGTGTGCAGCAGGCCGGCCTGATACTTGCTGGTGGGGACCGTCGAAGACCAATGTTGCCTTAGAAAGCCCTGGAGCTGTTCTCCTCAAGTTCATGTGTATCTAGTTTGTGTTCCTGTCTCAGCGCTCGTTTATCTGCATATGACTGGGGACATGCACATTATCGCAAGAACTCATACATATACTAGTTACTAGATGTTACTAGTATGCAGGACTTCGTTAGCCTTGGCTACGACCCACATGCCCCAAAAATCTGCTAATTGCGATCCAGCCACCGCATAACTCTTGGCCTCGCGGAGGTAGCTTTGCGATGCCACCAGGAAGTCTCTCCCACCCTCTCCGACGAGAAGCTCCAGATCTAGCTGCAGGTTGTTCAGCCTGATTCAGTACATGTTAATAGGACGAACATCCCGACAAGCACTCTTGGCATCTCTCCGACTGGCCACAGACTGCAGAAGGTTCAAGGAAACGGGAGCCTGGGAACCAAATTCTCCCCATTCAGTTCTCCGAGCCATGCGCACAGACACGAAAGGGGCATGGTGAGCCAAAGCACTTCTCAACCAGCTGTAACTGTGAGAACGCCATGTCGAGCTCGGCTGGATCGGCACAAACTTGCGGGCACAAGACATAGCACCTGAGTCCGTTCTTGCCATTCAGATGCATGAGGTACTGGCTGATATGGGCCTTGCAAGTATCGGGGCCCGTGCGCAAATAGCCGGAAAGCGTCTGCAATCTCCTGCGAGCAAAAGGAGCACCGGGGCACGCTACGGCAGACTATGAAACCAAGCCACCAGGAAGTCCAGCGCCACGGCATTGAGCTGAAACAGCCGGATGTGCTCCGGAACAATCTTTGGTCTACCGTGTCCTCTGCAGTGAGAAACACTACGTACAAGGCCGACATATCCTACAATGACCCACAAGTCTCACAGACTCAAAGGTACGTCAGGATGTTGCCTCCCTAGGGCCCGTAGTCTGGTAGAGCTGCAAACAAGAAGCGGTAGCCACCATAGAATCCAAGAAAATGCTCCAGTGTGTCACGCAGTCCTTCCTCGGCTTTTTGCGAGCATCTGCAACTCCCTAAAGCTCTGGTCCACGGTACTTCTTCGTCTCAGTCTACTGCTCCACTGCCCTCATACGCCCAAGCGGCATAGCTTCTGAAGAGCTGGCGATGGTGGGCGCAGCCAAGCGGCCGCAGCGCCACCGTGGGCGCCAGGCAAAGCTGGGCAAATCAGGATGCAAAAGCGGTGCAGGCAAAAGAAAATGCTGCTAGGTTGGAACGGTGTGGGCATACTGTACGATGGATGGCCGCCAGCTTTTGGGGTCCTGGGCCTCTCTACTCGACAGTAGCCTTCTGCAACCGATTCAGTGAGACGCATTCACAGGCCGAAAAGGCTGAAACCCGGCGACTCCGAGTAGAAACGCTCCACCTGCAGCCAAAGTCTCCCAAAGCACAGCGGCTCCCGGTCTGCGCATGCTCAGCGAACTCCGCACGCAAGGGCCGCAACAGCCATTGCAGTTCAGGGCAGCGTTCAAGGATTTTTCCCCTCCCACTTAGCAAGGACGAGCCCGCGTTGCAGGGTATGTTCGGGTTTGGAGATACCTGCACAAGAAGGCTGACGCAAGGCAAGTAGCCATTTTTTGGCAGCTTCACTACAGGCATCCAATTAGTTGAAAGTCAAGTGCTTTCGCATCAGCAGTGCGTGTAAGACGAATCCTTCAGAGCCTTATTAGAGAAGGGGGGTTGGGACCATCAGATGCCACCAAGGCCTACAGACTCGAAGATGCTCTAGGTAGGACGGAGGTAAGCTTGTTGAAAGCATAGCTCGCAATCTGCCTCTTGAGCCGATGCGCGCACCTGAAACGAAATTTTCCACTTCAGAAGCGAGGTCTTGACTCGGCTGGGCAGTGTGAACCTCGAACTTCCTGTTCCGGTGTGCATGGAGCCCATCGAGCTGGGTGCGGGACGAGACGATCTCCTTCTGGCCTCGGTTCTGAGTTGGCGCGGCTCGCTCCAAGAACCTGTTCCCTTTCCTCATGAGTCCTCTCTGAGACATTGAGAGGCAGCAAACACCACCCCCACCGATAAGCCTCGGTGTTGCAGACGCCATGTCAGGGGCGCCGTTGGGCCACACCTCGTGCGCATCGCTCACTGCCAGAGCTACGGCCAAGAGTCAAAGACTGCAGCGTGCCCCGAATTTACCACTGCTCGGAGGCGGCCGGCGATCTCAGAAAAAGCCCGGAGCAGGTCAAGCTGAGCACAAGACGAAGTCGCCCACGTAGTCGATGTCGGCTTGCACCTTTCTCAGGCAGGATTCTCTGGGACCGTCGTGCAGATACGTCACACACTTTGGTGCCTGCGCGTTTGCGCGGCCTCTTGCTGTGAAAATCCACAGCAGCACGTAGACAACAAACAAGATTATGATGGACTGCCTTCGCGCACGGCAGCGAGTAATCACACAGACTCGGTCACAGGGTGAATCAGTCCCTGCGATCCCGAGATTCGGACACAACAAGCACACCTTCCCATGACTCCCTCAGCTCAATGAACTCCTTGTCAGTGCAAAGGCCTGCAACGCGTGAAGGATGAAGAATCTCATGTGGGTGACAATGGTTGGACGCTTCATCCCTCATCCCTTGGTGTTCTATGCCGTAGTCCTACAGATGCGAAACTGGGACAGCTGCTAATGCAGAGCGCGATGGAGGTGATTTTATCAAAGGAGGCCAGGACCACCATGAGCAAACTGCGACCTGGAGACCATGCGAGGATACCAGATCCTTCGGTGTGAAGATCCAAAGGAATATCTGAGGCACCCAGCTTAAACTTTTGATGTAAGACTGCTGGGACCTGTGCCGCCGGCGGATGTCTCAAACTCAACAAATCCTGGGCAACTACGAGAAATTGAGCGCCAGGCAGGAGGCAAGCATAGGAACTATCTTCATCGGGTCCTTGGACCCATTGGGTGTGCACTGGTAGGGGTGGACTACTCTTGCGACACCGCATGCACGGTCCGTGTGCTATCTCGTTTTTGGCAGCTCAGTGGAGTCGCGAAAACTACGTCTGCGAACCTCCTCGCACTAACGAAAATCGCAAGTTCCTCTTTCTTTGAAGAAGATTCATTCATCTCCGAACCAGGCCTCAACCCCGCAGTAGCTCTCCCTTGAAGGAGTACTTGACGGGACTCAGAAGATCCCGCGCCAGTTCCGCAGATTCTGAGATTTTCAAGACGTCGCCGGACCTAAGAGCGTCAAGACACCGCCGCGTGCCCGGCTAGCTCGGCTTCCGTCGAACAAACCAACCCGAAAGCCGTGGTTGCACATGGCAGCACGTTGCGAAAAGACTCAGGCGAAAAGAGTGGTGGGGCAAGACGTTAATTTGGCTTCCGTTTGGGACTTCGGGGATTTTGGCCTAGGCACTGGACAGGAACCGGTGTCGGCGACATGAGCGCCAGCAGCGTAGGCCAGTGGCTCTTCTGATGCTCGCCGTTCAGCCCACGGGACTCCACCACGATCTTCCCGGCCTTGACAGCTCGGCAGAAACACAACTTGAAGAAAATTGCAGCTTCGTGAAGCTAGGGGGCTGGATCCAAGATCAATCGAGGCCATATAGCCATGCCGGAGAAGCTCTCAGCTGTCTGCTTTGCCAAAGGCCTGCCATGTACTGGCAGACTGCACAGCCTACAGCGCAACCTGACACGTGCAACACAGCCTGGCAGAATCAGCCTTTGTATCTTCTTTTGTCGTCAACGCCTTGTGTGCATGGATCTCTATCTGACCGCGAAAGGCTGTGTACTATGTGCGTTAAGGCACCTCAAAGTACTGGTCATAGTTGGCTCGGATGCGATCTTCCATCACCTTAAAGTTCAAAGGTTTCTGCTCCCAGCGCCCAGCTGGTAGCTCTCCCTCACCAAAGCGGATCTCCTCCAGAACCTTACAGGTTATAGTGCAGCATCTGTGGATCCGGATCTCTCTCTCTCTCTCTCTCTCTGGCCAGGCCTGAGGATCAGAGATCAACTCCAATGTACGGTCCCGGGGATTCAAGGTCAGCGGCTGGCCCTGGAGCTTCTCGAACCTTCAGCGGGAGGGCACAAGAAACACAAGCCTGCTACTGACAAAGGTGTCCCGTGTTTCTTCCAATCAGAGCCACTTTGGAGGAGCCAGCACTGGATGGAGGGCATAGCTGACAGGAGCAGTCCAAGTCTGCACGATGGCAGGAATGTAATTCTCCGGGTTGTTCGGGTCCTTCATGTGCCGCTTCTGTGCATCCTCAGGTCCACCAGAGGACTCCGAGCTTGACGTGCCAGCCAAAAGCCTAAGACCCTCAGCTTAAGCCGGCCTGCCTTCATGGAGGCCAGAATGTTCTCCTGCGGCTTTCACAGCGCAAACGACGCAACACTGCAAAGGCAAAGCTCGTGTCGTAAAACTCGGGAGCGAGTGCCATCAATTCATGGCCAGGCTCGGGGGAGCCTCGTGGCACCCGCATGTCTAGCACTAGTAGCTGGAAGCATGGAGAAGCCAGACTTTCCTGTTGTCGTATGGCAAGAAGCTGACAGCCACAACATTGCAGACTGAATTTGTCAGAGCTCAACCAAGTTGTCCACATGCATGTCCGGATCTTGTGCCACTAAGGTCAAAGAATAACTCTTGAGATGGACGAACGTTCGGATCTCCTGAGTGGCAAAAGCTCCGACGACCTCTGCCAACACAAGGTCCACCTTCACGAGAAGCAAGAAGGCACCAGACTTGAGTTGTATAAGGCTAGAGTATCTAATTTTGCTAACTCACCTCGGTCCCCTGCAGTCAAGCCTGATAGGTGTACTGAAAACATAATTCTGCCTAACTTCCACGAGCTGCTTCAGGCCGGTGGAGGGTGCTGTGACTTCAATCATCAAACAACAGGAGAGGAAGTTCAGGTCTCGGGTGGGTGTGCGCGCTTCCTACAGCCAAGCCGCCTTTTCTGGGAGGGTCACCGCAGTCGAGAATCCATCAATCACCTCTCTAGCCGGATGGCTCCGAGGCTCTGACAGTTTGAGGGGCACACCGGCATCTAGATTTGGAGACCCCGGCCGCCCCGGCCCGCGCCTCAATCACGCCTTCGGGAATATCCTCCTGCTCTAACAGAAAGGCTCGCGCTCTGTCGGCAGCCTCTGGGTTGCCTTCAACAGCATAGACCTTCTTTGCACCAGCCCTAGCAGCCACAGTGGCGAACAATGCGAAGGGGCCCGTCCCAATGTCCAGCACTGTCATGCCATCACGGCCGCGTATTCTTTCTTGGATAGCCTTGATGAACTGAGGTGTCCGCCGAGTGTCATCCCGTTCAGCATTGTACTGCTCTTCGTAGAAACGCAGAAATTGTACACCATCCTTCGCCGGCCAGTTTGCCGAGAGCTTTGGAGCATCCTCTTCAGCTTCAGCCGGCATCGGAAACGAGCCTGCTGTGGCAAGGCCTGCAGGAGCCAGGCTGATAACATGCCTTCGGCTTGCTTTCTCTTGCTCGGCTTCGGCGCCTCTCTGCGCTCTGTGCCCAAGCGGCACCAGGAAACTGGTGATGTGGAGGCTACCAAGTAGTCCGGCAAATGCGATCAAGAAGCTTCGAAAACTTGCCCTGCTTGCCTTGTAACGCCTCATCTCAGCGGACCGGCAGCAGTTCCCCCCTGCCATGACGTTGATCCTCGCGGCCGGCCGCTACTCGCCCAAGCTCACCAATCCATGGTGCGACTTTGGGCAGAAAATTCCAGCAGCCGAGAATCAGAAGGCTTGCACATCACATTCCCCATAAACAGTCTATACCCACTGCCTTGTCTTCATCTGCCTGGCCGCTCATGCGCTGTAGGTTCCGCACTCCAAGCTTTCAAAGCCTGGGACACGCAGGAAGGGGTCTAAACACCAAGCCTAAGTGCCCACCCCGCCACTCCCACTCAGTACTGCATGAGCATGTCCCAAGAAGCCAGGGCAACTACTGACGGGCAATTAAAAACTCAGCCACAGAAGGCCGTGCCTCCTTCTTTCCGAAACTGTCTGATGTCATGCCTTGGTAAGGTGCATCCAGCCCTGGACAGCCTCTTTAACAGCAATACAGATCGACTGCATCACAACAACTGATGCGGTTGCTTCGGTTAGATTTCGCTAGCTGTGCTGCGCAGAGACATCCAGTTCAAATTTCTGTGGGATTCCAGGATAGCTGGTTAGTGGAAGTGCCCCATCAAGTAGTAGTTAAAAACTAGGCCGCCTTCGCCTCTGCAGACCTTCCCGGCCAAGCACTGCAACTGCAAGACACGGCTCTCGACTGGACGCTCTGAAATCTACAGTACAATACCAAAGCGGACATAGGCAATGGTCGAACTTCGCAGCTTACTCTGCCGCAACAACCAAGCCTTGGACCTTTCGTGAAACGTCGTCCGGACTGCCCAGAGACGCCGTGAAAATGAGACCTGTCATGCACTCATGCTACCAAGCAGGATCTGCAGCATGCAAAGGTTCATGTGCGGACTGTGCCAGGCTGGCGCATGTGACCGGGCTGAATTCAATGAAAGTTGTGACCTCGGAGACGTACAGAGAAGCTGCTTGCTTTTGAGCGGGGCATGCAACATCTGTAAACAGAAGTGCTCCAAAGTCAGCGCCAAGGAGACAACGCAATGCAAGTGAGCACTCTCAGAAAACGGAATGCAAACATCTTGCTATTCACACAGGTGCTCGTTTGGAGCACCTCAGCACCGCCACCGGAGATGACGTGTCTGAAATGCAGAAACATCCTGTAGACGTCAACATCTGGACCAGTTTTCGGGTCTCAATGCAACACTGAATCTCAGATGTCCGAGGTTCAGCAGCCACTCCTGCGCGACACGCGTGCACTTACAACGCAGGGATCCGGTTTAACCAACGCGACAGGATCGGCCGCTCTCATCCAGATATGGCAAGCGAAAACTAGCGGCTACCGCTTTTTGCGGCGCCGTGTCGAGGGACAGGTGAGGAGTCGGGAGTCGGGACATGTGGAAGCCCACAAGAGGTCACTGCAGTCTGAGACATGTGGCCGACGGCTGAATATTGAAGTGAGGAATGTCGATGCAGCTTCTAGGCCAAGTTCACAAACCGAGGCGATACCAGGTTTGATGGCCTTTCCATTGGCATGATTCTCGTTCTACAAGCCGTCCGGCGGCTCCTATCCGATGTTCGCATGTGCTGACCACCCGCAGTACAACAGTGTCGCCGGCAACTGCCTGATGAAACAAAGACGATTGCGATTCTGTCCTGGTCCGAGAAAGGCTGGGGCTTCTTTCGCCTGCAGCTGTGCCAGACCACGTACGGATCCAAGTGCGCAAGCAAAACACCCACTACGATGACAAGGCAAACTGGTCAAAGCCAAGGTACAACACACTTGTCTGATGTACGCTGGAGTACATATGCAATCCTTGAGTGTCTTCCCGGCATAATCGGCAATTTGCCTTGTTTTTTCCAGGCGAAGTGGAGCCGGTCGCCGGGCGTGTGCACCAGAGAGTCCTCAATTACATCTTGATGTGGTCCGACTAAGCTATCAGGCAGGAGTTCATGACTGTATTGGTGCCCGGTGTTTGGTATGCTGTCTGCCTCTACCCACTATACTTCATGCGTGCGAGCACATTATTCATTATCCGTGGGAGCGTGCGACACATACACACACAACCTGCACATGACGACAACAAGGGCAGACGGACAGACTGACAAAACCAGGCACACATGTACAGACAAACACCTGCACATGGCGAATACACACCAAGAAACACAAACAAACACAACAGGCACACGCAAACGATCACAAACACAAACACACAAATACAAACACACGCCACAAGCAAAGACCCACCTGTCAACCATCCTCCCACCCACACGCACAAGTGCGCAAGGATTCCCACAAGCTAACCGGGCCCGATGCTCGCATCACGAAATGGCTTCGGCACATACACATCTCCGTGCAACAAGAGCGACCCGCGTAGAATATGGCACACACATCGCACCATGGCATTGGGCAACTTTCCATTTGCCACTGCATGTCTGAAAGTATAGTATGTGACCTATATCTATATACATATCATATTTACATATATGTGTATAAATATATACATATATATATATATTTGTTTATGTATGTGTGTGCGTGTGTGCGCGTGTGTGCGTGTGTCTGCAATAATTCATCTCGCTACCCCATCTGTGGGAAAAGTGCGTGCTTGCTCGCTTGGCGTGGGGGTTGTTCGTCCGTTTCTGTTCATCGCGCACTTTGTCGCCACCAGCGGCCACCCAACAACTCTGGCCTGCCACACGACCATGCATGGACGCCAGATCACGCAAGGAGTTCTGGGGTTTAGCAGAGGCCTATAGTTCTGGATGCGTTAACGGACAGAACAAGCTGACCGAGACTTGCAGTCAATATCATCGCATCGAAAGCTCAACTGCTGCCTCGTCATGGCCAATGTGCGCCCTGCACCGGGGGGTCGGAGTCGTGTCACAAGCGTCATGTAGCCGTCCAATCCGTCAACTTCTCAGATACGTCTCAGGCATGGCACACGACGAGGGTCGACACCAAGTCGATCGAGCCAACACAAATGAAACCAATGAGATACCAATCAAGAAGCGGTGGCAGGGTTTGGAAACAGCTGTGCCTCGATTTGCTTGTTTTCTATATCCTGGCCAGTTCGGGCGAGGCTCTATGAAGTTCGCGGAGAGCTCATCCACAGAAACCGACTCACATTCACATGCGGCCTGATTCAGGGCACTGGTGCACGGGCAAAAGAACTTCTCACACGACACAAGAGAGTCATGCCATGGCCGGCCTGCAAGGCGAACCAAAAAAACGGCCAGCAGCGGCTCCTGAGCCACGGTGCGCTCTCAGTTCAGTGCCCGGGGCAAGTAGTAGCCCATGCCAAGGAAACGTCCAACGCAATCAACAGCGAAGAGAAGCAGAGCAACACGGAAACAAATAGAGCAGTCGCAGCCCTTGGTGTCGGAGCTCGGCTTTGGAGGGAAGACTCTAAGGCAGGTCTACAAGAGCCGAAGGGAAGAAAAGAGCGTGCCAACAACAATGAGCTCGACGCTGTGAGCCAAAGGCCACACAGCATCGACGGACAGGTTTCGCTTTGTCGCAGCACTGGGCCTTTAAAGGGTGCCCGAATGCAAGGTATCATACCTGAGGTAGTTGTGCCACGTGTGTTCGCCATTAGCCCGACGAAACGGTGTCCACGCCCGAGGCAACACAAACCGTCAAGATCAGGACCGACTAAGTCCGACAGACTGCTTGTTGTCCCACACTCCAGCTTGTGGTAATGCCAGTTCTGGCCAGGGAAAACCACACAGCAAGCCAACACCTAGTCCATGTCTGAAAACTGTAGAAGAAACAATGAGGCCAAACAATCATCCGAAAAACTTCAGACGGCCCCGGTAAGGTGCCAGTCAGCGACGTTTTTGACTTGCAGGCGACAGCGGAGCAATGGAAGGTCCAAGTGGGGCCAACTAGCTATGGCCGCTACATGGAACGACAGGGCTTTGAGCCCCAATTCACCAGCAGGTAAATCCCGTCAGCTGGCAGCTGTGGCAGCACGCAGGATGCTGTTGGCGATGCGTTCGGATATGTAAATACCTGCTTGCTGTGCTCGCTCAAGCACAGGTATGGCCAGCTCACTTCGACCCCGACGGTGGGCCTGCAAGAGGAAAATTTCGATAGAATCTCTGGGGAGGCCCACCGGGCAGCTGCTGAGGAAAGCATCGTCCAAACACCTCAGTCAAATCACCGTCTGCTCATCACGGCATCCACTGCCACCCAGATTTGAAAACATTATGCTTACTGAACTGTAGCACTAGAGCCACTAAGGCTCACTAAAAAAGGTCAACATGGTGCAGTCTTGTAGTCATTGTCGTCAGGCGGCCTTGCCGCCAGATCCAGGTCTCCTTGCTGAAGGCTGCCACTCAGCAACATCTTGTACAATGAAGCATCTGCGTGGCATCCAGCCGCAGACATTTGGTCGTAGATCTGAAAGGCCTGTGCCAGCTCGCCCTCTGCTACGCAGGCTGCCGCAAGGCCTCCGTACACGGGAGCGTCAAGTTTGAGGCCGTACTTGGGAGGAAGCTCCCTGAAGACTCGCATTGCAGCCCCCAGGTCACCACAGCAGCTGTGCAGGCGTATCAGCAATGCTACCGTTGTCGAGGAAGGGGCAATCCCGGTTTCTTCCATGTCGCTGAGGATTTGCTCGGCAAGCATAGGCAACTGCCTGTGTGCACAAGCCTCCAGCACTGCATGGAACGTTGCGATGTCTGGTGCTACACCTCGTCGCCGCATCTGACCCAACATCTGCACACTACTCTCCAAGCCGCCTCTGGAAAGCTGCCCGCGGATCAAGCAGGCATAGGTGGAAGAGTCTGGCTCTACGTCTTGCAATGTCATGTCACGAATCACACTTGTCGGAAGATCTGGATCATCGCTTTTGGCCAGAACAGTGAGTAAGGTGTGGTACAAGCCCCTGGAATATTCCATGTGCTCTTTGGTCGCACAATACAAGTCCCAAGCTAAGGTTGCAGTACCTTGCGCACTTGCCACCTTCAAACACTTCATAAGGAGGGCTGGTGCTCGGCTGAAAAGCGAGAGCTCCTGGACGGCCTCTTGAAAGGCCGCAGTCGACCCAGCAATATCGCCAAGCTGTATGGATGAAAGCACTTTCTTGCAAAATGCCTCCTCTGCAGCGCCCACACGCCTCGTCTCCTCCGTAATGGAGCCATTTTCGCCCTGGTCTCGAGAGTCCGGGGCTGCTTCGTGGTCCTTCGTGCGCTGAACGGCCTCCCTGTTGAGAAGGCGGCCAGCCACAGCCCGGATCACGAAGAAGTTGAGAAGTACCAAGAGGACAATCAGCGAGTCCCAGCCTTAGTTCACATTTGCAAAAGGGTGCCGTTTCATGTCTTGCCCGGCCTCTAAAGTGCTCAAGTTGCCGACAAAGAACCAAGACCTACCAACGGGCTCCGTGAGGTGGCGGAGCCCATGAAGGTCGAAAGCTGATGAATCGCCATCAGCAAGAGCTGCGTGGAAGGGGTAATGGGTATGAAGCTACGTTGAGAGCAGAAACAGCTCCGAGCACGAAAGCAATGTCAGTGACATGTCTACCTCACGACGACATCATCAGGCTGTCAGGTGTCAGGCTTACAGTGCAAGCACTCTGACGCAAAAGGTCCTTTCCAACTCATCTGGTTGCCCCTTGCGTCCCGGTCGCCCGTGTGTATTCTTCTGCGGCTCGACGGGGCGGCGAAGCCATTTGCGCACGTCCCTGTTGTATTGGTCTACCAGGTGACCTTGAAGCCGTGGTTCTGAAAACAGGCTGGAAGCAAAGCCGTAAAGTCTGTGTTGACGAATATTCGGATGAATGGAATGCTGGCTGGGTCGTCCTTTCGAGCCGCCCCGATTCCATGCCAAACTAATCTGAAGCGGTGCACTGAGATCTTCACACAGATGAACGGCAGCCGCGATTGAGGCTGGGTCTATCATCTAGCTCCTGCAGCGGCTTTCACAAACCCGATTCTCCAGCTGAGCCTATACTTGACCAAAGAAGCAACGAGTCAATGCAAGAGCTTCTCTTTTGCGCACCCAAGCCTGCGAGTAGAGTTGTATAGTTTATGAGCTGCTGGGCATGGCCTAACATTAAACACTTGGTGAGACAATGACAGTACTTGGTTGCGTCGATCTAAGAAGGAGCAAAAAGCCATGCTGCCTCGTACACGCACACAGAAATCATTTCTGCGAGGCTTCTTGCAGTCGCCTCTGCTCCTCCTCTTCTTGTGGTGTCAAGTGCCTCTTGGGCCGGGGCTTCCGAGTAATCTGACCCGTTGGGCTAATGGAGACATCCTTGAATTCGATGTACAAAGCGTAAAGCACGAGTGCCGCCACAACGCGGACACCCCACACTTCCAAGGTGGGTCGCTCGTAGAATTCCGCATTCGGGCCCTTGTCCTGCGGCTTCTGCTCGGGAGTGCTTGCCCCTTCCTTCCAACCAGGTGGCCGCCATTTCTGGCCGCCAATCGGTAAAGCCCCTGCTGACATGTGAGATCGGGATCCAGATAAACCTCGAAATGCTGCCCCCGCCGAAGGCCCTGATGTGCCAGCACTGGCACGTGGCAGGTAGCTCTTAGGAAGGTGCATCGGCATAGATTTGCCATCTGAGTCTGTCACTATGTGTTTGCTTGGCGTGCCAGGAACTGCTGCCTCTTCTCCGACTGCATGGGGAAGAGCAGATGTCTGATTGTTCAACATTTCCTTCATGACTTTCGAAACACTTGGCTTGCTTGGATCACATCCTGGTGTTCGCATCTGTGGGAAACTGTCTTTCATGACCTCAGCTCGGTGCGGTTGCATGACAGAAATGACATCGAGGCTTCAGGGCCTTTCTAACAAAATAGAAGCTCCCCTAGAGCTGGGGCTAGGAAGTGCGTTCACGAAAACTTGTTGCAGATCTCTTGCAGCTTGCGTACTGCAAGGCGACGAAGCCCGGCTCGCAGCGCCATCTTTTGGCCGCTAAGACTCTACGACACGTAGAGACGTATCACTGGGAGGCACCAACGATTTCTCCCACTGGAGTAGCACTAGAGTAGCATTGCTAGCTGGTTTGGCTGCGAATGCAGCTTTACCCATGATGTGAGGCTGGGGAAAGCTGCGCATGGCCGAACTGCTTGCCACCCCTCCAACTTGGCACAATTGCAGCGACAGTGGACGGTGCGACAACTTCGAATATGCTTGAGTGGAATGTGCAATATCTTGCAAAGTTGGACTCCTGGCGAGAATCAGAGCGTTTCAGAAATAAGTGCGCGGATTTGTCCGCTACTGTAACCTACTATAATAACAACAGGCCACAGTAAACCAGCTTGCTCCCTGGCATGCCTCCGATTCTTCATCGCCGAGAAGCTGAGCCTCAAAGAATCAACTGAACTGGACAGTAGACGATAATGCAATCTATGTAAATGGACATGACATGATAGATGTTTATATATGCATGTATATATATATATATGTGTGTGTGTGTGTGCATGTATGTATGTATGTATGTATGTATGTATGTATGTGTGCATGTATGTGTGCATGTATGTGTGCATGTATGTCTATATGTATGTATGTATGTATGTATGTATGTATGTATGTATGTATGTATGTGTTTTATGTGTGTATGTGTTTTATGTGTGTATGTGTGTGCAGGTGCATGTATGTGCATTGCATACTACACGCCACACACCACGAATCAGGCACCACACATTACATTCCAAAACTGTGCATACATACATATGTACCAATGTAAATGTATACATGCCTATGTTTAGCATAAAGTGAGTACCGTAAAACAGATGTCACATATTACATAATATGCAATATAAAGACTAATATACATATACATGTATGTATACATACATACATTTATACATATACACACATCGTATACTATATGCTATACAAATGCAATACAATGCCATACTGCACTGTACTATGCTACCTTATCCTTAAAATTGATTGTATAGTACCTTACGGCTCCTGCCTTGCTGAGCGAATCACTAGGCAGGATAAATCAGAACGTTCGGCCCTTTGCGCTCTGCGGCGGTTGGGGCCACAGAGTGCTGTTGAAGCATACTGTATGGCATGTATAATACATGAAAAATGTATTGTGCTGTATCTGTTGCATCAGTAATAAAAAAGCATGATACATACTATGCAGTATGCTTTTTGCTATATATATATATATACTGTACTATATAATATGCATTGTATACTAAAAACCATATATAATATACTGCATGCGCTCTATGTTACTAGATACTTTTTTGTACATGCTATACATTAAGCGGTGTCCATGTTTTTAATATACTATATAATACACCTTAAGTTACATTAGATGTTGCAAATAAAAGCCTACCTGTTATGTAAACATGTTTCTGTTAATTATACAGTATACATTACAGACTACGCACTATATATCATATCACATCTCCTAGACAGCTGACAATGTTCAAGCCGCGCACAATCTGTTCGACTGTGGTCTCTTCGCCGAAGACCTGGCTGGCAAGTTCCCCTGCCCAAAGAAGCGCTTCGAAAATTCGGTGTAATCTCAGTGACGACTCGTGTCCGATCCCCTCGTCTTTGAAACTCCCAAGGCAGAATTTTTGGATTGTGCTCCAACTTACCATTCCTAGCTCTCACAAGAAAACCCAGACCGGGGGCCCAAAAGAGACTTCCAGATGATGTAGGCCCTGTATTCATTGTATCCCAAAAGCAGTCCTACACTCATCAAAAAATCCCAAGGAGTCCTATACACTCGGACTATGAGCCTTAAACCCTTTGTTCAGCCAGACCCTAGTCCCTAAATCCCCCAAAAACAAGCTTGCAGAACCCTCACAAGAATGTTCGGATATCCCGAATCAAACAAGCTGGCTCGGCCGCGCCGGACTCTTCGTCAAAAAAGAAGCCCGTGCGCCAAATCTTGGAGCCTTGGACTCTGCCAACTCGCGCCGGGTTGGTGATTTTTCATGGAACCCGCAAGCCACCATTGCTCTGTTGCTGCTGCTGCTGCTACCACTACCACTGCCACTACCACTACCACTACCACTACCACTACCACTACCACCACCACCACCACGACTACTACTACTACTACTACTACTACTACTACCACTACCACTACCACTACAACTACCACTAC